GTGTGTGTGTGTGTGTGTGTGTGTGTGTGTGTGTGTGTGTGTTTACACCATGTCTTCTTTATCCATTCATCTGTTGATGGACATTTGGGCTCTTTCCATACTTTGGCTATTGTTGATAGTGCTGCTATAAACATTGGGGTGCATGTACCCCTTTGAAACAGCACACCTGTATCCCTTGTAAATACTTAGTAGTGCAATTGCTGGATTGCAGGATAGTTCTATTTTTAACTTTTTGAGGAACCTCCATGCTGTTTTCCAGAGTGGCTGCACCAGTTTGCATTCCCACCACAGTGCAAGAGGGTTCCCCTTTCTCCATATCCTCGACAACTCCTGTTGTTTCCTGTGCTGTTAATTTTAGCCATTCCGACTGGTGTGAGGTGGTATCGTACTGTGGTTTTGATTTGTATTTCCCTGATAATGAGTGATGTTGAGCATCTTTTCAATTCTCTGTTAGCCACATGTAAGTCTTCTTTGGAAAAGTGTCTGTTCATGTCTTCTGTCCATTTCTTAACTGGATTATTTTTTTGGGGGGGTTTGAGTTACATAAGCTGTTAACAGATTTTGGATACTAACTCTTTATCAGATCTGTCATTTGCAAATATCTTCTCCCATTCTGTAGGCTGCCTTTAGTTTAGTGTGGAAGCTCTTTATCTTGATGAAGACCCAGTAGTTCATTTTTGTTTCTGTTTCACTTGTCTTCCACTGACATGTGTAGCAACTTGCTAAAGTTGAGGTTAGAGATGTTTCTGCCTGTGTTCTTCTCTAGGATTTTCATGGTGTCCTGTCTCACATTTAGGCCTTTCAACCATTTTGAATTTCTTGTTCTGTATGGTCTGAGGAAGTGGTCCAGTTTCATTTTTCTGCATTTTGCTGTCTGGTTTTCCCAACACCATTTGTTGAAGAAATGGCCTTTTTTCAACTGGCTATTCTTTTCTGCTTTGTTGAAGATGAATTGACCATATAGTTGTGAGTCCATTTCTGGGTTTTGTATTCTGTTTCATTGATCTGTGTGTTAGTTTTTGTGCCGGTACCATGCTTTCTTTATGTCTACAGCTTTGTGATACAGATTGACCTCTGGAATCATGGTACTTTCAGCTTTGCTTTTCTTTTTCAGGATTACTTGGGCTATTTGGGATCTTTTGTGGTTCCATACAAATTTTAAGATTATTTATTTTAAGTCGATGGAAAATGCTGGTGGTATTTTGGTAGGGATTGCATTAAATACGTAGATTGCTTTGGGTAGTATAGACATTGTAACAATGTTTGTCCTTCCAATCCATGAGCATGGAATGTTTTTCCATTTCTTTGTGTCCTCTTCAGTTTCCTACCTAAGAGT